ACTAAAATCTCCCTCAATCAATAATCTTTAAAATAATGTATAAAATTTACTGCTTCTTTGATTTTTCGATCTTAAATCTAAGAGTTTCTCATGAAAACTTGGAACGGCTAAAGCTGCATTTTATTAAAAATAATTCATTTCTAAAGGGAACTTTCCATATAACTAATGTTAAAAATACCTCAGCTGTACTTATTTGTATGTTATCCTTTGAATTTATTACCTTATTAAAATCAGGTGAGATTATTAGTTTGTGTTTGTATTGTTTGTATTTGTTTGTATTTTGTTTATTTCAGCTTTACTTAACCAATCAACAGTAAAGCCCGTGGGTAACGGCATATAAAAGAATTAAATATAGACTGTCAGGGATAATGCGGTTATCATGGTTACCATAGGTTCTGGCGCACACCGCTTGGAGCGCCGTGTAGTTACATAGCGTCATTGACTATTGTGTACGCCGTATCTACATGGCCCTCCCAGCTGTGTGCGCCAGAACATCTGGTAACCGCAGCACAGCTGACGGTCTATATTTAATTCTTTTTGTCTATGGTAACAGCTAGTTTATGATAACAGCTAATTTGAACTAATGAATACAAACCTGTATTCATTGTTTGAACCAAGCGGCAACATAAAGCGGTGGGAACTATCAAAGTGGGATTCTTTAATTGTTTACAGTTATTCTTATGTTTTTGATTTATAAATAATTTGTGATATTTTGCGAATATTTGGTAATTTACTCTTTTCTATTGTTTAGGTGCAGTGGTAGAACATTATTATGGCTATAGTAGATGTGTTATAGTATACCGTAAATTAAAAGAACCGAAGTTTCTCAAACCGAGTCATCCCCCATTGCAAACGCAAAGCACGAGTATAACTGCACTGCAGTAAGCATTTTATGCTTATTCGCCAGCCCCGCATGAAGGACGGGTATTTTGCCTCTCTGCTGCTGAAAGAGGGGGGGGGCTCTGTTGGCCTTACATAATAAAAATATGACTTTTAGACAATTTTTTTAGAAGGGTGACTTACAATTGAGGTCATCAAACCATATTTAATACATATTTTATCAAAATATGTACCTATTAAATATGTTTTCTCGTGTTAATCAGCATAAGAAGTGACAAAATTTGGTGCATTATACAGAGTGTCTCACGAAGTGAACCTTTTTATTATGAGATAACTTAACTTCTATCTATGAGTTAACTACTTTTGGGGACTCCCCTTATTTTTAATGATGTTTTTTGGGAAGTTTTCGAATTTTTTAAATATGGCTAACAACTTTGTTATTTATTATGAAACATCCTGTATGTTATGATTGTTTTAGAATTTAAATGCGATTTAAAAACGTTTTTATTCTTAAAATTGTATTCTAAAACTACTTCTTTAGGAGTTACAGCGTGTTACACCTAAGAAAAAATTGCTTGTGGTGTACTTTCTGCAAAGAATATAAAGTCATAAAATCGCATCTACATTCTTATAAAATATCGAGTGTTTCAATATTTAAGTTAGATATAATTTTTTAATCAATAGAATCAATATTTTAACCTATTTTATGATTTTATTAGAATGTAGATGCAATTTTAAGACATATTTCTTTGCATCTCTCTAAACTTACTCATTTATAAGCTACAAGGTGCAGAATGTACACCACAAGCCTGTTTTTTCTTAAATGTAACAATGCTTTAACTCCTAAACGAGTAGATTTAGAGAAAAAAATGTCAGAAATAAACATTTTTTTTACTTATTCCCATTCTAAAACAGTCATAAAATATGGGTGTTCCTAAAAAATAACAAAGTTTTCAGCTATACAGTAGAGTCCCGCAAACTCGGCCTAATGTGGACTGTAAGGATGCCGAGTTTGTGAAAAGCCGGGTTATCGGGAACTAGGGTTAAAAATAAGAACAGTACAACTTGTAAGCTTTTTACCGCCTTTTTTATTTATATTTATATTACAAGCCAGTATAAAGTCATCAGGTATAGTACAACGAGTCCTTGGTACAAGTTGTGAATGATTTACTTGAGCTGGCTTAAGTCCATTTTTAACTTGGACTAAAAAAATCACTGCTTTTCTGAGCCAGGTGATGGCCGAGTTATCCAGACTGCCGGGTTATCGAGTGCCGAGTTTGCGAGACTCTACTGTATTGGAAAATGGTGGACATGTTTTTAAAATTCTAAACCATTCCAAAAACATCTTAAAAAAGAAAGGGGAGTCCCCCATAAGAAGTTAACTCTAAGGCTCTTATTACAGGAGGTAGCCTGGGGAGGATGTCAGCAACCATAGCTGGCAACGCATTGGCTACCAAACCTAGTAGCCAGTTCAGTAGTCAGAATATTTCCGGTTTTATAGCCAGTAGCGACCTGAGTGGTGACGGGGCTCGGTTTAGCCAGCAGGTCACCAAAGTGTGGCTACGTCGTTGGCTACCCTAAGAATCATGTCCCATGACAATCTGAGCAGCCAGTTTTGTCGCTGGCTACGTTAGCTATTGGTTCACTTTAAGTGAGACACTCTGTATAATAAATTTTCACTCTACCCCTAGTTGTTATTGAGATGTAAAAAAGTATGCCTACTTTATGTTGTTGTTGTTGAAATTGTTGTTGAAATAAATATAAGTTGCCATTTTTGGTGATTTTAATCTGTAGAGTTATGTAGAGTTATCTGTAGATTTCTGGTTACAGTACTTATGTGATGTGTACACTGTACACCTTTGTTGCACTATCTGTATTGTTTCAAAAAAACAAATTGCGGAGAGTGCTATCTAGACCATTTCTAGGGACTAGGTGTGCTATGTTGCTATGAACTTGAAATTTGGCGCACTTCTTGGTGTTGGCCTTTTGGCCCCCCCCCCTAAATTTATAATTACCTCCCATTTTGTCATGGGGAATAAGTTCAAAAGTGGCTTACTATACTTTGGTATACTAATCTAAACGGTTTGGAAACGTGCTATCAACTTAAAATTTTCCAAGGATGTAGTAAGTAATTTAATGAAGCACTACCCACCCAAGTGGTAAGCCAAAGGTGAGTCTATGTAGGTATATATTGCTCCAATATACAATTCTCCAGACTTGATTCTTTGACGATTACCAACATTTTTACATTTATTTTACAATATTTTGTAGAAGACAACCTCACACAAAATTGTTGGTTATTTTTCTATTTTATTTTCTTTAGCTAATTGAGGATTTTTTTTTTTTATAGCAAAAAAGGAGGAAATGGATATATAAAGAACTGGAAGCTTTTTTAATGGCGGGAGTTTAGCAATATGCAAACAGAAAAATAAGACATTTCTGACATAGCCTGCACACTTGTGTGTACTTTAAAACCTCATGTTCTTGCATTTTGAGTAATTGAGATAAAGAAAAATACCCCTGCCATAGGAAATCTGCACATTAAGCGAATTTTTCCATTTGACTGATTAGATTTTCACTAAAATATCCCCAAATTTATATCCCTTCCCTATAACATATTAGTTTAACGAGTACTTAGGTTTGCTACTACAGGAAAGGTAACAAAGTGTGTTTTTTTAAAATTGAAATATTTAGAGTTGGCAGGAGTTAATAATTTTATCTCTCTTGACTACACCACTCCAAATAAGCCTGTGGTAATTCAGGGAAACACCAGATGCCAGGCGAAACAATGGTTGTCTGAGCGCCGATCAGAAAAAACATGCGTTCACGTTGAAGCATATTAATCATACACCGCTTAACTACTGAGCAGAAAATTGTATGTGATTTTTAAATATATTTTCCGTGTGAATTGTTTTTCGGATTTTTAAAATTTTAGTTTTAGAGGTTGAAGAAACCATATTTTATGTTTATGTTAATATATTTATGTAGTTTGACAAAATAATAACAATTAAGACTAAAAAGTAGATAGCAAATCACATCCGAGGTTTCAATGGCTTTAAAATGAGATATTTTTCTGCTTATTATCTTAATAAACATTGCCGTAATATGCTTCAACCATTAACATTGCCGTTAGGGGCATAAAATCAAACATAGCCGGCGGTCCTGCCGATAATAGCATCAGTATATGAAATAATAAAATTTCCAAATTTCATCAAAATATGTTCGTAAACAAGCAAACTACAAAAGTTTACTCATTCTCCTTAAGAATAACATTTTAGATTTACTGTTTTTTGGAATTTTGTCTTTAACCATTAAGTGCATAACAATGCTTAATTTTACTATACTTATGGTTTTGATAAGCTATACAATTAATATAGTAATTAATAGTTGATGATGTCCATAGTGTGATTGTTGGTATAGGTGTCTCCTGTCTTGCAAGCTTGCAGGTCAATAATTTAATAGAGGTTGCCTGGCCTATTGAATAAAATTAGCAGTTTGGAGTGACTTTTGGTGGTTTTAAAGATTTTACTAGTACTAAACTAAGTTAGGGTAAGTATGTAATAAACTGATAAACATCCTTGGTAAAACTATAACTGTCAAATGTTGGTCTTCAGGAGATGGCCACATTGGACTAACAAAAATACTCGCTAACGTTTTGGATACGGTACCTTGAAGCAACCTTTTTTGATCCGATTTAAAGCAAGCTAAAGTTCAACTCAGTTTCTGTGAAGATATATCGCTGTTACATTCTCAAAATGTCAGCCAGCTTAACTTAAAGACAATGAATTGGGGGTTCTAAAGGAGTTTTAAAATACTTGTTACAATACATTAAAGATAATACAGGCACCTCTAGCATTTACCATTCTAGTTATATACAATTGTTTATCATTGAATACCTTTGATTTCCATACCACTATGACACAAGCAAAATATAAGCTCCACCTTTTATGACCAAAGAGGCAAATATGGTTAAGTAGTCTAAATTCCCAAAAACTTACTTCTAAGATTAGAGAGCTTGTGCAGTTTGACAACCTGTATGATACAATATAATCAACAGTTTTCCTTCACCATTTTTTAGGTTAATCCTTAAAAATATACATCACGGGATTGTTTTTGCAAACATAGTTTGAGTTTGTTTATTAGGTAAAAAAAGAGTAGAATTGTTCAATAAATGATATAATCTTACATTTTATCTTTTACAACCTAATCAGTACAATAATTTGGTTTAAAATATCAGTTCAATAAAATTTTACTATGAGTTTATATGATTACAAAGGGCAAACGCCACTGTACAGGATTAAAACTTTAAAATTATTAGGAACTGAAAAAATCATGAGTGATCCATGATTACACAAAACATGTTCAAAATAAATTAAATAGCTACACAAAATATTCAACAATGCAATATGTTTGATCTCTGTGCAACAGAGGTCTTTCCAGAATATAAAAAATACTAAGTCAAAAGAATAAATACAATTTAGTCCGTCATCCACCCCATGCTTTTCCGGAGATACAATTATAGTAACACAGCCAACGTATTTACATCAACAATTTGTATTGTCTTAGCCTAGGCATGCACCAAGCCCCAACCCTTAGTTCTTAGGCCAAGGGTACGTGCAGGGTACGGCGGAACGGTATTCGGTATCGTAAAGTTGGCATTTAATAAAATGATCCTTGTCTTCTGGCTCGGGATATGTAAATGCCATTCCTGAAATCAACAACATGATTAAGAAACACATCCTAGTATTTGAGAATCATTATTGTTTGTAATTAGAAGGAACAAAATGTTAATTACAACTGTTTAGGGACAAACAAGAAGTGAGTTTGATTTACATATTTAGTTAGCTTGTGATGTAGCGCCTACCTATTTAAGTTGTGAATTATTGTTTAGTAACATTATTCAGTTATGAAATTAAATTGAGCTAAATCTAAATATTTTAGTAACGATGGTTAAGAAACACAACCTAGTGTTTGGAACCAATCAATATTATTTTGTAGTTAAAAGGAACAATATGGTAATTACAGATTGTGCAAACAAAAAGTGGGTTAGATTAATTTATTTAGCCTGTTGTTTTAAAGTTTTTGTATCAGTGATTAGTAAAATTAAATATTAGTCATATATTCTTTAATTATATTCAATCTACATTTTTTTTGTAACTAATTGTTCTAATTTTTTAAAAATCTTCAAATACAAATATAGGTTTTGAAGATTTTATCTCATATCATGTGCATTTTATTTTTCAGGACCTTTACAGGTTGGGAACTTTAAATAACAAGTTAATATTTTATTTACATTGACGTTTTTCAACCAGCATATCATACCAACCTCATTTTGTTGTCACAAAGAAAAATTTTTCATTTTCATTGTTGGTTAGAATTAGAAGATTAATAATCACCTCTTATATGATAATAGTTAGAAAATTAGTTAAATAATTAAACCATTATCTACTTCCATTAGTTAGTATCTATCTAAATTAGTAAGTTCAAAGCAAGAGTGCAAAAAAATTGGCATTTAATGTATGTTAAATTCTACTAAAGCTTAGGTGTTAGTGAGTTCTACAATACTTTTTTTGTCATACTGCAGCAAAACCGGTCGTTTTTAATGCATGCGTTGCAGGTCTAAAGTAGCATTTTTACTCTCTAGGGAGTAAAAATCATTTTAAGTCTAGGGAGTAAAATCAGCTATTGTAAACAGTTGTAAATTTCGATTGTGGCAATCGTATCAATCAAAACTTTTTATCGATTGATTAAAAGGTATGGTTTTATTTAGCCTATTGTTGTCGATTGCTCAACATGTCGATGGTATAATGTACTGTAACACAATCGTAATAGACGAAATGATTGAATAACTTACTAAACATCTGCTTAATTGCATTAGCAGAATTGAAAACAAGCTGGAAGTAGTTTTGAGAGTAGCTTTACATACAAATTATTTTGTTTTTTAGCTTGGTTTGTTAATTATTAATGCAAATTAACAAAAAAATATAGTTCACCACACAGGCAAAAAGTGACTTTTTAACCGCCGCTCATTTTCCGACGTAAAACTTGACCTCGTGTCAAAAAGAGTCACTTTAGGCCCTAGTAAAGAGATATACTATTTTAAAGCCTGAATTAGAACTGCAGTTGTGAAATTAGAAAAGAGCAATACTATATCTTTCTGTATCTAGGTATTATATCACTAAACCTCAACATATTTAATTGCATTTTAATATTATGTAGCAAACGACGAACTCTATTTCACTGTGAAATGTTAAAGGGTAATAAAGATTCTAATTCTTATTACTCAACTACCACAAAGGGTTACTTCAAGTGAAAGAAACTTTATCCTTTTTCTATGCAACCAATCCTAAATCCATCACATATAACTTCGTAAAAGTCCTTAGAATTACCTCCTTCCATAGTACCTCTTAAACAAAAATATGTAATTCAAAATGACCAATATTTGTAAAAGGAACATTTAAAATTTATAAAATCAAAAAGAAGTGAATAAAATGTATAGAAATAGTTAATGGCACAATACCTCTCTGGTAGGCAAATTCTGCCACCTTGGTAGCGACCTTGATGGAGATTTCCTTGATGTTTTGTAGTGGAGGGTAAAGACTGCCCTGCTCTAGGTCTGCTTCAGACACCATGTCAGCAAGGGCCTAGAGAAACAACCAATCAGTAGTTTAGTAGAAAATTAGCTTTTGAAGCAGATTCAAACCCTAATGTATGACTATTTAAATGTAAAAAATACCTAAGAAAAGTTCAACGAGACCACCTAAACGTTCTTTTACCATTGTGGCTATATGAATTGTTAGTGGTCGTCCAGTGGTTGAAAACTCGACCAAAAATATGTATTGCATAAGCTTCTCTATTTTCACCCCACGCTGTAAATAAAACATGTGATTGTAATTTCTTCCATTTGTTTGTTTTGATTTTCTGTTTATATTTTGTTGTTATTTTGTCACCAGCATAGCAACCCATAAGGCGTGTGTTAATTTAAAAAAAAAATTAAAATTAATTTTTTGTGCTTATTTTTGTGTACAATAAGTATGGATGGAATTTTGGAAACACAAATGGAAAACCACTATAGAAAAGGTGGAAAGTTCATAGCCCAAGAAATCTTGTTTATGGTCTGGGATTGGTAAGCAAATAAGGTACAATGTATAAAGGACAATGAATCCTTAGTAATTGTTGGAATCCATTGTTTGGGCCATTTACTAAAACTTACCAACAAATTACCACAACAACAAAAACTACCGATAACAATGAATCTAAAACAGAAATTAATTCTCTAAAAATAAATTTTTTAGAAATGTGCCATGCACTGAGCATTGTAAAGATACTTACGGAGGAAGCCATAAGGAACACCTCGTCGCTGATGTGTCTGATGCCCGCGCAGATAACACCCAGGGCTACTCCGGGGAAGATGTAGGCATTGTTACCTTGTCCTGGGACATACCTCTGGCCGTTGAAGGTGACGGGGGCGAAAGGAGAACCGCTGGCGAATACAGCAGTACCCTGCAGTACAGTAATGCATTTTATAATTGTGATTCATACCATGCAATTGAAAGAACAAAGTGTTTTCATTTCCATCACATACTTTGGTAATACTCTTTGAAAATGGAAACAAGTGCTCTCTAATCTTTTTCGATCATAATCGATTTATCCGTCTGTAAACAATATCTCTCACACTCTTGTGTTAGGATTCAAAATGTAAATTAATTTAACTTCCAAAAAGTGACTAAAAATAATAATCTGCATTTTTTAGTTCATAATTTAAGAACTAGTAAGAAATCATAAAAAAAATGATTGTTATATTTGAGCATCAAAGATAAATCAAATGTAACACAGTAAGAACTTCAGTAAAACATAATTGTGCAGCTCGATTACATTATAAACACCATAAACAATTTTTGCATATAGTCTAAGTCTGAGTTTAAACTTTAGACTTTTAGTGTTTTAGAGGATATTCAGTTATCCTTTCGTTTTTCACAATTTTGCTTGGTTATACAGTTTCCATATAGAAAATAAATTAGTAATTCACGTCAGTGTGTTGCTCAATTCAACTTAATTCATTTTTATTCTAAGATTGATTCCAACTTAAACATGAGAATAGAATGTCTATTTCCATAATATTGCCAAAAATTAAAAAGTTGAGCAAGCGATATAATTTTGAGGGAAAAAGGTCTCATAGTCATTGGAGATTGAAAAGTTTATAATTCTAACTATAATCCATCATAATATAACTATGCCATCCATCATGCAATTCTACTTAATTAACACATTGAGTGTGGGCGGCGAGAATTATCGTCCCGCCGTACCGGCACCACTGGCGTGGGGCGGGAAATGTCGTCCTCCTTGCATAACAACAACCTTGCTACAGTGTGAGCTCAGCCTGGCACGGGGAACACTGTTTCCGATTGCTGCTTATTGTGCCAGTTTTTTACTTCAATCCAGTATAATTTGTTTTCAGATACGACTATATTATCATTGGAAGGGATTGTTCCAAATTTAGTGTAGTGTGGGGGGCTTGGATTTAATGAAATGGAATGGAATTATGATAATAATTTACTGTAGTGTGAAGCATTGTGGAAGGAACCTAACCTCAAAATTGTGCTTGACACCTTTTTGCGATATTTTTGATGGTGTATCCGGATTTTTCGTCTCTGCTTTTTCCCTACATTTGGCAATACTGAGAACCTGCTGTTTAGTGCACTTCTTATATAGTGTTGGGTTCTTGTTGAACTATGTCCACAACGACTGAAACACAGTACATGTTATAATTATGCTTCTCCTATTGGATGAAACTAAATTTAAGTATTTTCACGCACTCTACAGCGCATTGACTGCTCCCGCCACCGGCCATCGTATGACCGCAGTGAACTTGTAAACTTTTAAAATTGTCTTTTAACAAGATTATAAATTACGTATTTGTAAATTTTGCCCATGAGGCCATAACTTACATTGGTGTAAGCATAGGCCTGTTCTGCAGTACACTCTGCCTTGCTGGTAGGGTTGCTGAGGGCAAAGATGATCGGCCTCTTGTTGTGTTGCGCCATGGTCTGGATAATCTCTGGGGTGAAGGCTCCAGCTACAGCGGCCGCTCCTGAACACACAGTAGAATTTTTAAACTTTGTTCCATGAATTATATGAATATTTGAGTTACTAGTGGTATAGCCAATATTGGCAATGGTTACTGTTTAAACTTATAAGCCTCAAGAACTTATTTAGCTTTATTCCTACTCATACAGTGCAAAAAGGTTTGCAGTAAAGATTTTTGGGATAAAATTTCAATTTCCTGGATTAAAGCAAAAGACACCAAATATCTTATTCGATTAAATTTAAATTATTTGAACTATTCTAAAAAAAAATCGATTGGCATGCATGAAAGGTTTTCACTGAAAACACAAAAAATCTTAAATTTCTTGTTTTATTCATTCTCGTGGTTTTACAATGAACTTCTTATTGGGTTGTATAATTTCAGGTCCAAATGAGTTTTATCTTAGATGAAACATACTTCCATAGTAGATTTTTCATCCTTATGGATCAGCTGTAGACAATGTTATTGTTAGTTCCGTCAGGTGCCGCTAGGATCGTGTTTTTGTTTACGATTTGTTTTTGTCATTTCAGTTATTTAAAACATTTTTATGGAAAGTAAATAAAAGAAACGTCATAACACTTAAAACATATATTGCTGTTACTCACAAGACGGTATACAAAAAAGATGGTAAGTGGTGATCGATTTCGATTGGACACTCCAATCATCATCAGACCCAATAGGCGAATGACAAGAATCTTGAAAGGCATCCCTACTTATACCTTATTGGCTACCAGAAGCACCGGCCAATACATATTTATAAGTAGAACTGGAGTAGAAACTTACTTGTTCATTAATCAGCTTATTTCTATCTTTAGTTTAAGCTAAAAAGCTTAACTCCTAGTCTAGTGAATAAAATAGCTGTTACAGTTGATTATGAGTTATTTTGATGCAGAATCCTTCGGTAATTTTAAATTTTTGAGGAACATTAGAATCTTGATTTATGATTATTCCATCCAAACCGGCATCAGAAAGGTCAAAATATGAGAACCTTTTACTTTAGGCAAAATAGGTTATCTAGACAAACCCATTACAGTGTGAAGTCATGCAACTACAATTGGTACCTGATGTCAAAGCACTCTTGAGTATTCAGGAGATCAGATACCTTGGGTAGTGGGGTATTGAGACTACTGTTCTGCGGTGTCAATATAATTGACAAAATAGCATTTCTCTAAATGAAGAAGATGTAGGGAAGATAAAAAAGAAAAGGTGTTGGAAAATGGATGAAACTAATAATTCCAGCTATTCATGGGAATTTCTAACGTACCAACAAGGATGTTAGGCTTGAGTACTTTGACAGCATCGCCCAGGGTGCGAATGGGGGGACGAGCGTGGGCGAAGTGAGTCTTGTGACCAGAGATGCCTCCCTCGGGGCGGTCCTTGACAATGAGACCCTTGGAGTCAACCAGCCAGATCTTGGAGCGAGCCTCGGACTCGGAAGTTCCCTCGGCCTTCATTGCCATCACACACAATTCAGCAATACCCAGTGATGCCTGCAGACAGATGTATCAGAATCAAATCAACAATCAAGATTATAAAGCTTTTTTTACTATCAGGTTTTATTTGATTTCAACTTGATAATTATGATTGATGAAATTCCATACTCAGGAGTAAAAAAATTGTAAAAATTAAATAATGTTGCTTGTAAAATAACAAAAATAATTTTTAGTTGAAACATTCCTGAGTATCACTTGATAGGAAGTGTTAAATGTTCAAGTAATAGCATGTGTACAACATATTTGATAGTATTTTGAATGATTAGCAACAACACAGATCTTAAATTATTTTACTTATAGGTAAGTTTACAGCATTGTTACTAATTTGAGCTACTTGTCTATGGATATATTAGTTAGTTGGGGACAGATTTTACTTATCAAAAAAAACTTCTCCTAACTAAACTATTTCATCTGGACTGTTTTTAAAACACCTGTAAGAAGTGGATCTAGGTGTGAACCTAAAAATTGAATACCTCCAGTGTTAAACCTCTTATATTTTCATCGCTGGGAGAGTACTTTAAACATATTTGTCCTAATACACTTCTTTTTAAAGAATTTCATAAAAAGTATGTTAAGCTCAAATTAAGAATATGATGCAGGTATTATCTGAAGGATGTAGTTTCACACTCAACAAGTCGGATCAACAATTGAAATTGCCAACTGATCAGCTGATCAGCTGATTAGTTTACGTTCGAAACATTACTATATTACTACTTTATCTCAATCCTTGAACCTCATTGGTCCGTTACCCGTGTTGTTATGAGAAAAACTATGCTGATATGAAAGTAAACAGCTTTTAAGTGCAAATTTTCAATTCTAAGAACTGAACTGAAATGGCTACCGGTACTTTAAAAAACGGTCGTAGGTAAAATTATTTTTTAATGGATGGTCCAAATTTACTGTTACTTATTAATTTTCTACAACGTCAAACGTTCGGTTAGGCATCTTGGTAATATGATAAATCAATGACAAATGCCATATGGGCCCGGAATGCTCTCTCGAAATTGAACCACAGCCTTTGAATTTATAGGCGAGCACCTCCAAAGAAAATCGTATTTAAAACACGTTTGGGTTTCCATTATATAGTCAATGGTTTCCACGCATTACACCTTACCAAATCATACTGCTGCAGTTTGCAATGGTACAGCGAGGTCGAATGATTGAATGTTAGGATGAACGCAAGATCCCGGATGGAACCACGGTTTATCCGGTCACGGAAACTATCGTCACGGTGTTAACAGGTGTAAAGGGCACGTTAAGGAATTGTGAAAAACAGAATTGACTGATGAATTACAACTGGATAATGCAGTAATCCTGGGGATTATGACTGTTAAATCACTAGAGTGACATATTTGTCATACGGTTTAGTTATACAGTAGGTCTACATAAAATACAATCTACCTCATCCTACCTTCATTCACTGTTCGCCTTCTAACTTGGAAAAACTTAAACCTTGTATGGAATACTTGATAAGTGCACATCGGAAATGAAGGAAGGCTCATTCCTTGAGCGGTGGGCTGATACATAAGATAATACTGTCTAGAGAGAAACTTTGCATTAAAATATACGTTAAACATATTTAATGACATAGGCAAAACGAACGTCAACGGTCTTTTACGGACAGTTTTCCAGTTGAAAAAAAATGAATACAGTGCTGTGATTTTTTGGTAAAAATAAATAAAAACACGTCTCTCGTTTAATTACCTTCTAATACCAGTTTCAAAAGATACGAAATTAAATACCTACACTAAAAACTTTAAGCAACACTTTCCTATAAATATACTTTAATAATAAAATACGGTTCTGAAAAAGTTTATTTTTCACCGTAACTTTACAACTACTAAGCAGTTGATGAATATGAAAAGTAATTTAATACCGATTCTGTAACCTGCATCAAACGCATTTTTGTACAACTATTATACAATGTGTACAATTTAGTATCAGTACAATAGCTTTCTAAGTCTATTCTATAAACTAGGTTTATCAGACAAAATACATCTAAACGGTTGTATTCTGCAGTTCAGCGAAATTCTCTTTCATTCTCGACTGACTATTTGCGAGTCAGCTTATAAATCTCTTTTGAGTCTCTACTGAATTCTTTTTTAAGCCAAACTTCAACACAAACCATCAATAGAATTGAGGAGAAAATTGGTGTTTGTTTGGATAGAAAAGTCTATTAAATCTATTATCTATTACATCGAAAAATATAAATAATGAACAGTCTACCACATACAGTGAGAATAGACAAAATATTGATACTCGATTATAGTAGCGAACAACTAAAACCTGTGACTTATAATTCATAACTAAATTATTATTTGATTGAAAAAGAAGTAACAGTAGTGACTTTAAACAACTGATGTTGGATTAGATAAAATATAATGGAGGTTTTATTTTGCCCCAGGCATCCACCGGAAAACAAACTAACTCACTATTCCTCGAATCAAGTATTTTTTAAATGCCAAGTAGACCATAGTAGATATTTTAAAGGATCCTCTCTCTTGTTATGGGCTCTTTTCTTCCTTTCTGTTTTTCCTTACAATGAGATTTATACAGATTTTCAAGTTAAGTTATAGTTTCAACGTGTTACTTTATGTTCGTCTCCCTTTATGTATTTTAAGCATAGCGTGCACTGATATTTTTTTGTGAAAGATAGATTTTTGAGAAGAAGATCCGTCTAAGTGTTAAAACTAGGCAACTATTATCGGGAAGCTTGCTAGTTTGAATTTACTAATAAGAAAGCTGTAAAACATAATGGATTATTCGTTGATCATTTACATTATTTTTTTTCTTTACCTCAGATACTAAACAAACTCGTTCACGCAAACTGACGTAACTCCTGAGATACGTCCGTGAGCGTGACATGTTATGAATAAAACTAGTTTAATCTTCATTGCAAATATACGTATCTCAAGTTACGTCAGTTTGCATGAACGAATATGCCTAATATCTGGGATACGCCAAAAGATTAATGCTATGTATCTCATAAACTAATAGGAATAGAGATACGCCTGTTCAAGGGTAACGTAGAGAGAGACTACTAAAAAAAAATCTCTACTAGGCCTAGTAGAGAAGCTCATTGCTGTCGTTTCATTAGAATGTCCATTTTTGACAAAAAACGTATTTTTTTCATATAGACGTATCTATAGTCTGTACGTATATATGATTTTATGGACGTATATGGTTAATTAGGCAGTTTTTTACTCACAGACCACATAGTTAATTAAACCTTTCATCGACTGGGTACTACAGTACCTACCTAAACTTATATTTCGTCTTTTGGATATTTCAATCTTCTATAGATATGATATTTTGGATGGTTCATGATATTATCTCATGAGAACTCAAAATTATAAGTTTACAATGAGTCACTCTTTAGGCTAGGCCTGGTTCTGGTTACAAAGTTAATCTAAACAAAAGATGCTATAGCACAGTCCGCTCGTTGGCTCGAACCAAGACTATTATTGTCTAAAAAAGCTACAACTTAAAGAACAAACCTTTCAATCCGAAACTGAACCTAATTCAATTCAAAGCATTGGGAAGTTTTTAAAAGTTATACAGTAATTCAAATCGACGTGAGAATAGAATATCAACTTCACAAGTGTATCTATGGTTAAAGATATACATAACAATCTACATTATTAAGGATTAGTTCAAAAAACCTTTCGCTGGTATTTTGAATGATTAGCAACAACACAGATCTTAAATTATTTTACTTATAGGTAAGTTTACAGCATTGTTACTAATTTGAGCTACTTGTCTATGGATATATTAGTTAGTTGGGGACAGATTTTACTTATCAAAAAAAACTTCTCCTAACTAAACTATTTCATCTGGACTGTTTTTAAAACACCTGTAAGAAGTGGATCTAGGTGTGAACCTAAAAATTGAATACCTCCAGTGTTAAACCTCTTATATTTTCATCGCTGGGAGAGTACTTTAAACATATTTGTCCTAATACACTTCTTTTTAAAGAATTTCATAAAAAGTATGTTAAGCTCAAATTAAGAATATGATGCAGGTATTATCTGAAGGATGTAGTTTCAATTTGTTGTCTGTAAGATGTTTCTGTAAAAAATAAAATATGTTATAGGTTTAAGAGGTGCACAATGCAAAAGCAAAAATACTCCAAAATAAAATAACAGATTAGTTTGAATAGGTACAAAATTAACCTTTTAAAACCAATATGAATTATTGTTGAAAGAACTTTTAACAAGCTGCTACTCTGTGAGTAAAATCATTCAGCTGACTTACCTCTCCAGCTCCCTGGAACAGGATGATGTTGTCGGACAATCGAGTCTTGGTGATACGCAGGGACGCCAACATACCTGCGAGAGCAACAGACGCAGTGCCTTGGATGTCGTCATTGAACGTGCAGTACTTGTTTCTGTATTTGTCTAGGAACCTGAATGCATTGTGGTTGCCAAAGTCCTCAAACTGTAAATTACAAAAATTCTAGTCAAACATCAACCAAGTGATAAATCTACTAAGATGAACTAATCACAAAAGAGTTAGAGTGATTAATGATGTGTTGAGATAGGCCTACCAGAAAAACTTGCATAGGTGTGTATTTTAAAATTAATTTGCTTGGGTAATAATTTAATATACATTAGTAAATATAAAGAAGTAAGATTTACTCAGGTTCATTAATTTATATTCCATATAAACTAATGTGGATTGTGACCAAACAAATAATCCATAGATAGAAAGTATGGTCTTTAAGGTGTTACAGCCTCACATAGTCAATAATCAGGTTGTTGTGTAGGAAGCAAATTTTGACATTAAAAGATTATGAAGATGACTTGAAAAGGGGGATTTAAAGAGGAGGTTAAGAAATGTGTGTGTCTGGAATTTACCATACCAACATGAAATCACCAGTATCTTTTGGAAGGAGCTCTCCAGTACCTTCCAGAAAAAGTTCTCCTCAGCTGAAAACCCCCTTAACCCCCTCTGCCCCTCAGGGCAGACCTACACTCTTATCAAAAGATCAGCTGTAACCAAATTGTCCATAAAACTGGATAAATTGTGAATCACTAACACCTTATATACCAGGTTATTCATTGTTGTGATTGGCGAGTTTACATTTTGTGGAAAATTTCTACTCATCGCACGAAACAATCTTGTTAAATTTTGTAGTTAAATCATCAGGCTGTTGTATTAAATAAAAACTTATTAGATTATATTTGCAAGGAGTTTTTAATTCTTGTACTTAGTTTTCTTTATTTGAAAACAACAGGTGTGTTGTTAACAAATTAATACCGTTTGTATATACGACTGCCACAGAATATGGTTTTACTAAACTTCTACCCTCCCTAAAAATATATTTTCTTCAGTTAAAAGTATGACCAATACATTCAATTTGAATACATAACCTTTGTATCAAAGACCTCAGGTCCGCAGTTTGCATGGGCCCGAGAGAAGGTGCTCTCTCTACCAACCTTGTTGGGGAATTTTTCTCTTTCTTGTGCCCCCTACAAACATAAAACCTCTTGCGCCCCTGAGCCCAGGCCTACTGGGCCTATTTATAGAAGCCTTAACAGACCTACCTGAATAAGAGTGTTTTGTCCGTAACGGTGGACCACAGCTTGCATGAACTCATCAATGAAGTCGTCATATTCCTTGCCTGTGACTCTCTTCTGTCTAAGACCAATGTAAAGAGGGTCGTCTAGTAGTTGCTGAAACATTGGTTTACCTGCGTTAAAACTGAGATATAATTTCAAGATTTTTATGACTTTAAATTTAAATATTTATTTTTGAATTTAACTGCAATAAATCTTGTTAAGAATTTTAATATTGTATTAGCAACCTAGATATTTGTTTCCGTTGTGCTATGCGTATTTAATCCTTAATATTCATTTCAGAGCCAAGTCCTCTGTTGGTTACCTGCTTGTAGTCGAGTTCTAGTTAAGTGGTTGCAAAAGAGGAAGAAAACAACAAAAGATATAGGAAAAACAAATATAAAAAGAACCTAAGGAAGAGGCAATGAAAGCCAAAGGATTGGGTGGCATTGGTGTATTTAGCTCATCAAAAACTATTAGAAAAGGCAAATGTAAAAACAAAAGCTTGAACAAAACCACCTGAATATACAAGGCCAATTCTTAGCCGTAAGAATTGGAATGTGTTCCTTAAATACTTAATTGATGTTTGTGTTGTTTACACATTTAATAGTTTACATGGAAGTTTACCTGAGTGTTAGTGCCAACATCTAGGGTGATGGGCAGACACTGATGAGGTTTGATGCCTGCCAAGGCAGTGTACAGAGCCAGCTTGCCCACAGGAATGCCCATTCCATATGCACCAAGATCTCCAAGACCTAGGATACGCTCTCCGTCTGTCACGACGATAGCTCTGACATCAGGTTCTGGCCTGGGAATCAAAATGGTAGGTAAAAATCAAAGCTTAAAATATTTTTCCTTTGCAAATAATATAGCTTGGTAATAATAATAATCTGTTATTGTTATTCAGCAACATAAAATTACAATAGACAACGTCAGGAGTCAAGCCAGAAATATGACTTCATGTTTAAATTTATCATTTCATGAAGCACATAAAACATTTGTTACATAAACAAAACATAATATCTGTATATTTAATTCCGTAAGCGAACCGGTCCCCACAAAATATCTCGAGCTAGGAAAAAGGTAGCATGGCTGTTGAGGATTCATTCTAAAGCTTAAGGTCCAAGGACGGCAGGAAAAATATCAGAAGTTCCAAAAAATTACCTCTCTTCTGCCCCAAAAGATCAGGTAATTGTCTATTGGAAGTGCTTATAACAGTGTTTCTTTAAGCAGTTTTAAATATACCAGCTTATGTAAACATTGCGTAATTGTATGTTTATTGATTTTAGTGTTATCTGTATTTAGGTTAGGATGGTAATGCAGTGTTGAAATCAAAATCAATCGTGTTGGGGAGAACTAAATGTGTAAAAAAAGTATTTATTTTTATTTGTATAAAAAACTAAAACACAATTATTGCTGCTATATGGTCCCCTAGTTTAAACTTTAAATTCTAAGACATGCTATAATTTTTTTAAGTAAATAATTCTTCAAAACTAAACAATAAACGTGTAAATATTCAAGGAATTTAGTAAAAAGACATTTGGTCATGCAGGCTGCTTACTGTAGTGGCCAATAGTGTTAAGAATTAACAGCAACTTATGTTAAAAAATTTGTCTATAGAAAAAGTCATGGCCATTTTGATAATCTTGATTTGAAAAAAGTTGTATGTTTTCAATTTCTCTAAATGGAATGAGAAGTTTATTAGAGAGTTTTAATTTTAAATATTTATGGCTTTTAGGAATTTTGATAGTATAACTGGTGGGATGTACATATTGTTTGATTGTCTAGTTGTGTAGTTATGGATTGAGTGAAATTTAATAAAATTTGTAATAATTTGTTTAACATAAAATAAATTATTAAAAATATAAATTCAACAATACAATACAAAAGGTGAGGAGGGTTCTCTTCACACTCACGTGTTTAATATTAGAACATAAATAAGTTCTGAGGATTAAGAGATTTTAAAAGAAATTCAATAAAAGAATATTTACTTATGTGATAAAAAATAGTTGACCTCATTGTACAAAAATATTCATACTCAAAAGTCTGCAATTTTTACGCTTCAGTTAATATTTATTAATACCTTCTATCCATATCACCTACCAGTTCCTCAGGACCTCAAAGACATGTCCTTTGTCGTGGATGGAGATGAACAGTCCGCGGGGACGTCGGTAGATCATTCCGTATTTCTGACAAGCCAGACCTACGGTGGGTGTGTAGACAATGGGCATCAACTGTTCTACATTCTCTGAGAGGAAGCGGTAGAACAATCGCTCATTTCGGTCCTTAACAACAAACACATAAGAATTAGTAGAATAAATTGGAAAAGTAATTTTTAAATGTGCACTGGTAATGGAATTATGCGATAACAAGTATTTTTTAATCAAGCTCCCATTATAATGTGTTAATCAAATTGTAGTCAAGGTAAAACCATGTCATATTGTTGAAAACTTGAACTGAAATTATGGCTTTGTTGCAGATAGCTATCTTCAGAGTAGTATCGGAGCATTACTACTGGTGTTGGCTTCAGATTTCAGTTCAGATTTTTGAGAAGGAATCCAGTTTAGGGAGCAGCTTAAGTATAAGCCTCCGATCAGATGTTTATTCATAATGTAAGCATTTCAAAAGCTAATTTATGCACTTTTTTTTTTGTCCTAAGGACGCTAGGCACGAGCCTGGGATTGTTTTTCACATTACTTCAGGCTAGACCTAGGGGTTGCGGCATTATCACTTAGATAAAATCCATTGGTGACTTGGCGGGGATCGAACCCGGGACCTCAAGGACTGAAGTCCCGCGCTCTAACCACTACGCCAGCTCGCTCATAATTTATGCACATAAACTATATTTAAGTTGAAACTTAAAAACATCCACAGTATTTATTGTCTATACTCGTCTTCTGAGTTTGATTGTGTTGTAGAACTATGTTTGAAAGCAGACGTTCATACGTTGCAGTACCCCATCATCCATCAAAGATAGTTAAGGAATAGTTTGTTTACTACCTTTACTACTGGATTTATGCCCTGATCTTGATGTTGGAGGACTACAATGTTTCTGAAACGTCAGTATTGCAGTAAAGCTAGACGACACAGTCCAACCCAGAAGACAATGAGTATTCAGAATACCGGTACACAAATTTCAAAAATCTTAGTTGGAAGATTATGTGGCTTGAAGAATAGTGCAGTATGATGATAGTGTTGATGAGACAGGCAAAGTGACCTACCTGCAGACCCATGAGGTAGATGTATTTGTTGAGGTCTTCTCCGTATCTCTCCACACTCAGTTTACACAGCTCAAGCTGCTCCTCTTGGCTCTTGAAGCGGGGAGGGATCAGTCCATGGATGCCGAGGACTTGACGCTCCTCCAGCGTGAAGGCCATGCCCTGCAAAAAAACATAAACTTACAACTTAACAGTCACTAATTCTTTAAATAAACATGGTAATGAATCAAAACACATATCCTATAGGCTAAAATACAGCTGACGTTTATTTTGAAGGGAATATCACTTGTTTTAGCAATATGTTAAGAAAGAAGGAATCCACATATCTTAGAAAAGAGTTCCAGACAATCAATGGTGCACAGCAAGTTCATAACACAATTGATGTGATACACTTCATCCCTTAAACCCATTCAAAGAAACCTCTTCAAGATGAAGAACCAGGATGCCTGATTCCCCTATTTCCTTCTAGTGATTCTATTTTTAGTGATAGTTTTTGTTAGTATGTAGTATTAAAATTATTATCATCACCGTGACTTTGGTCGAGATTCCAGTCTAATATAATGACGTTAGAACATTTTTTGAAACCCTAGCGTGTTACATCTAAGCTAGCATTGATTATAGTTAGTTCAAATTTGGTCCAGGATTACGAAGCGTTTAATTTCCAACAGGCATTAACTCGTACAGTCTGTCTGACATTAACGCATTGTACTTACGACAATCTACAATGACCGGTTGCATGTTCAAGGTGCCTTTCGCCACGGCCCCACCCTCGCAATGCATTATCACATATCCGCCGGTGCAGCAGCCGAGCCGCTGTCTGCCTTACTCGGTGCGTCAACTTTCCCGCCAAATTAGTTTCCAGTTCCCTCCAAATTGCGTCCCCTGTTCCCTTTAACGTTCACTATCCCCACAAAATTACGTACCCAGTTAATATGATGAACAAAGGTGAATCTGCAAGAGTCTCGGTTTTTACTCGGACCATAAGAGATGGAGTAGTCAACTACAATCAAAACCAAGATAGCATTGAATATCGTGATTAGCATCTCGAAATTTCCATGCAAATTGAAGTCGCCTGAAGAAGGTCATTTGTAAGCAACTAGATTTTGGGGTTAGTGGGCGTAGAGTTAACACTCCCTTCCATCGTTGAGGCGAATTTCCGTCAATCTAATTAAAAATATTTATCAATAGATATTGACGGCATATCTATGAGAAATCCGAAGAAATTTATAGGTGGCATTTCTATAGTAAATTATAAATTAAATTATAATAGTTTTGTAAAAATAGTATATTTTTAGCGCTTATAGCTTGAGTTTTTCGAGTTTCAATATTCGTGTAAACTCATAGTCTAATGTTAGCTTTTTTAAAGCAAAATTAAGTACGCATGGTAAGTAATAAAAATATATCTAGTAAAGTAGGTTTTTAACTGTGGTTAAAGAATATTTACGAATTAAAATTTAACTTACCACAACGTTAACATTTTAGACACAATCTTTAATAGAGTAACACCAAAATCTAAAACCGAACCATTCACAATCTGGTCGGTGTCTGATAAGAATCTTAGAAAATGTTGAAATTGCACTTTCGTCGATCGTTCAATCAGTAGGATATAATGTACGTTTTCACTTGATAGTATAAACAAGTCAAAGTTGCATAAACACGTAAATGTAAACTATGACGTAAATTTGATTTGTATTAAGTAAAGTTTCTGTCATATACGAGTACTTCACCGTAAAATGCAATGATACAAATAGTAGCAGAATATCTATTTCAATTTGCCCACAACAGCGTAACGTTGCAGTAGCGCGGTGCGATGATTCATGTTGTCCAGGGTCAGGACACCCAAGGTCATCTAGGTGAGGTGCTGCGGGGGCCAACAGTGGATAATTGCTCTACTTCGACGTAGTTTATTATTTAGAGGACGGAACTAGCCTCTAGTCCCGAGGAAGGTCCAGTAATCGGAGTGACACGACAATCGGAACTGCGTCAACAACAACCTCAACAACAGATTAGGAAAACACTTCTTAGTCAACATTGATTATTCCACTAGATTAGTCAGTAATCATGTTGTAGGTCTTTTGTAGAAGTCAAGCTTTAACACAATTACACATCAGACAGTGTTCATGGAAGTGCTATTGAACAATTTTTGTACGTGCTACTTTGATAATACCTTGAAATTACGAAAACGTGTATTAAAATGATATTTCCGAGCAATTTAGTGTAGTCAAGGAATTTTGGACTGTTTCGAACATTGGTTACTTATTTTGACATTGTTCCACCATCCGCGTAACTGAAGGAGACAGTAAGTTACAAAAGGTGGAAATTTAAATTTAAATATACCTCCTTGCCTCCGTTGCGGGAGTCTAACTCTAGAATAAGCGAAGATCACTTTTAAGAGAGGCGGGGAAGAATTATCTCTTTCGTATAAAATGACACATTTCAGAACCATCACAGCGGAAGCTAAAGACTCAGGTACGCAACTCCGGTGAGTAGATAGATAGGCTACAGTAGGTGAACCCTTTTGAGGATGCGCAACTCCGGTAAACCAGGGCTATAGTTACCCACTGGGATTGCAGACGCTCAGCCACCCTTGAAGTATTTCTTAATCGCCAGAAAAGGTTCCGACCTGGTTCCCCGCGGGAGCAAGATTTAGAGGTCCGTACGTCAAGGAAAGTCCGACTCTTTCCCGTCTCGATTGCGTGCGTCATCTTACTCGTTACAAAATGGCTTTCAAAGGAAGAGTTGGTATTTTTATATGACGTATACAATAGTGCATTATTTAAAATTATGCATATTGCATAACTGTGCAAAAGTAGCACAGCCTAGTTGGTGAAAATAGGAATACGGCAGGAAAAAGCAACCTTTATTATGTAATACTACAAATAGGATTCATAAAACTACAGTATCATTCCTCCGATTTCTATGGAAGCATATTTTACTTTTACAGTATGACGTCTGTAGGAATATCATATGAGAGCTGTGTGCTTACAATGTCAATAGAAAAGAGCGTACTTCAGTATCCAATAGTCAATGTACATTAAGGTTCGTACAGTGACGGTATCTACCTAAATATATAGCTGTACACAACAAAAATTTTGCGAAGCCAAAGTATATAAACAACGAAGGGATACACACACCGATGAACTATGCGTATTGATAACACTTATCACAACGGTGTATTTGCATGGGATCCGTGTTTCATCCATATTTATGAGGATTCACTCTTCAACAAACCATATCCATCGAGATGGTTATTTACCAAGAGTTGCGAGATTATTACAACAAATATTAAACCGAAGTGAAGAAAGTATAAATCTAACACTGGAAGACTGAATAATTAGTTTAAAATTTTCCCATGCTCAAACAAAATTGTTACCCCTTTTTAAAATCAGTCCTAACCGTCATGAGGTTCTGTAAATATAACAAACATAAACGAGAAGGTAAGCTTTCATTACCAAAGCATCTCGAATCTTCGTTATCGGGAGATGACGACTTCATTGAATTGTCAAAATACATGTACTGGCTAACATGTCGGAGGCGATGCAGCAATCTTCAATGGTTGTATACCATTAACAACTTGGATTGTACTGATTATGGTGCATAGTCTGGATTTTTCAGCCACAGCAGCACAACATATTTTATCTTCCAAACGCACCTTTACGAGAAAAAGGACGATTGCTAAGGTTAATTGAGGAAAATTCGTGATATTTTGTCTGACAACTTTTACCATTGCTCGGATTCTCGTAACACGTAATTGCCTCGGACGGTCACGACTTGAGTATGACGTGTGTGTGTGAGGGAGGTCGAAGCCCCCTTATCTGCAACTGCACCACACACCACACACTACAGAATTGGGAAACTTTTACACACGCGTGCAGAGGTGTCAGCCCAAATCGTATTACGTTTAATGATAGCGTTTCTGAACTCGCACCGCTCACGATTTCACCGGGTTTTGCTAGATTCCTGTGATTACCGGAGAATAATAAGGGATTGACGTGAACACCCCACGGCGGGCATTGTCTGTATATCCCGGGGCTGGCCCAACTGGTTGCCTCACGACATCAAATCTGATTTCGAATTGGAGTGGAGGGGTTGTTTCTAGAAATATACACATTTTAAGGGGTGCGGTATTTAAAAAAAATACTCTTTGGATATTATGTACATTGATTTGAATAGTCCCTCAAATTGGGGGTTAAATTTTTCCTCAAATTAGAGCTACTATCAATTTTTATCATGGACACAGAGGCTATAGTACCATAATGAAAAATGTTCACTCATGTTCCAGCTATTTTTATTCTTGCAAAGTATACAATTTGTATCAAGTTATTGAAGAGGAAGAATATGTCTGTCGTTTGTCAGTATCTGAAAGTTTATTTGTTTTGATAAAAGTCACATGAATATGACACGCCTATATGTTTAAATATGTACCTAATCTCCCTTGTTTCATACACATCTTATTTCAACTTCGGATACAAACATACAAATCGTCTTATGTAAAATTTCATCATGTATTACATGAATACGCTAAACACTACTAATTAGTTATAGGTTCTAGGTTTTAGTGAATCTTCGGTAAATGAGTACGATTCAATGCCTACACACACACGATACTCATAACTTGATTTACATTTACTTCAATATGATGAAGACAAAAATGGTGATATATCAATAGAACTATCAATTTTCAAGATCTACTATAAGACAAAGGGATGGGAAAGGTTTGTGACAAATCTCAGATTGAAGAGATGAAAAGTTCTACTACGTAAGATTTCCTTTAGGATGATGAAACCCTAACCTACAGTACAAAGTCAGCTCTACGATATGTGGATTGATTTCTGACAAATCTTTCACAAATATGGCTGAGCACGATTTGACTTTCAAATCTAAATGCGTGCTTCCAAAACTGCTTAGTTGAAAGCATTTATGTAAAACTACGACTGAATATTTTAGTTTCGGATACTTCCATTAATAAAGTGGGTTTCGTGTCCGTCGTATCACCAATTTAAATTTCATAAGATAATGAAAGGATGTTAATTGACATCTATTATATATTTTTAAATGTCAGTTCAATATTGTTAATGCAATGTTGAGAAAAAATTGTTAATGCACTGGTCAGTATGGTACTGTTATTTCTCGTATATGTACTTATATTAAATAACAGATTT